CCGTTGGATTTCTAACGGATTTGGTTCAGGTGCAGTTGCTACTGTGACTATAAATTAAGCAGTCACACAAGCACCACTGGATTTGAAATGAATGATCCAGATGCACCGCAATACTGTAGCAAGTACTGTAGCGCTTTTCTGAAAAAAATATATATATTTCAGAATTCACTGTGGCAAGCAATTTGAACCATTGGATCAAGAAATAAAAGGCTCAAATTGTGTGCAGTGGCAATAGCAACTGCATTGGATCTCAATCTATTTCTAACACAGTGCCACTAGCCATTTTACAGGATAAGAGCCACATTATATACATGATAAGCCACCCGTTACCATAGGTACTCCTCCATATGGCCGTTTGCACCGACGATACATGGATCGATCAGAGGGAGAGACTAGAAAACAACGACGTAAAGCTAACCAACCATCTGATCGATCAGATCGATGATGGGCCGGTCACGTCTAGCCATGTCGCTTCTCCTTTCTCTTAACGACAAGTTTGTGAGTATAATCAACCAACCGACGACGACGATATGTTTGCACTGTCGCGCTCGATAAAAACGTTAAAAAAGCATCCAGCTCGACTTAAAGCACTGTGATAAACTGATGGCCAATTGTAGCTAGTTTGACATTAGTGTTTTTATCCTATACACACGGAGTAACAGGATCGTGAAGGGGCAAGGACACATGTGACCGCCCCGTCGCATCTTGTTCGGTTAATTTCTCTCATAAAAGAATTAAGAGGATTTATTTCATGTCTATTGTATGTAAAATTATTCTTCCTCAATACTATCTTTTTTGGGGGGATTAACCTAATAAAGCCTCATGGATTTTGTAGGCATCTATGGGTGATGATGCAGCAGGGGCCAAAACCTGTGAGAGCTGGTGCTGGTTAGTAGGGGACAGGGGTGACTGTTCACTCGTTCATTCGCCCAGTGCGTGCACGCGCGTAGTATATATTTTATAGTAGGAGTAGGAGTATTTGTCTTCCTGGGTGGTGTTGGCTGTAATTTTGACAAATTGACCCTTTAAGAAAACTTATTTTAAAATTAGATCTTGCCAATAACTTATTGCAGAAATAAGCCGTTCGCTCAGCGTCATCGAGGTTTGCGCTGAGGTATAACGTGTCAGCGCCGAGATCCTAGCTGAGGTGGCAGTGGATTTGACGTGGCGGGTATTTGGCGCTGAGCGCCTATACGTGTTAAAAACAAACTAACAATGAACAATCACAATCGGTGGTTGGCAGGGGCAGATCCAACGTGGGTGCAGGGGGGACTCAAGTCCCCCCTACATTGAGTCCCCCCTGCACCCACAAAACCTATGGATACCCCCCTAAGCCCCCCTTCAATTTTTTCATCATAGTTGATAAGATAGGAGGTGCTAAAGGTCTTATAATAGCATTTTAGCATAGTTTAATAATGAGATTATATGTTTATATCGGTGTACTCGGTATGTTGAGTCCCCCCAACTTTTTGTTTCTGGATCCGCCCCTGATGGTTGGTGGTGAGCTTTTGCATGCATGGCATCCTGGGTTCGATTCCCTTGCCATGCAAATTTTGTCTTTAATTTCCCTTGGTGTATGCTCCCTCTTTCTATTTGACTCAGTGCCATACTTATCTTTCTATTTGAATCAGTGTCATATTTATTTTTGAAAGAATACAAACAAATGAGAGAATAAAAAAGAATACAAACAAGTAAGAGAATAAAAAAGAACAGGGAAAAAAAATGACTTTTCTAGCGATCGGTGAGATTCGAACGTAGGACCATGTGTACACAAGGCAAGCAACCAAACCATGGCACCACTACCTTGGTACACAGAACAAATCAAATTGTTAATTAGCAAGTATATGGGGTCAGCGCCGAGGTATTTGACGCTAACCCCGTGCCACGTGAAAATTCAATGCCAGCTCAACAAAAATCTCGGCGCCAATGTTTTTGGCGCTGAGACGTTAGACCTCAGCGCCAACCTCAATGGCGCTGAACCGACGGCCTAGTTTTGGTTGAAGTTTTTGGCAGGGACTATTTTCAAAATAAGTTTTTATAAAGGGCCAATTTGTCGAAAAAACGGTGTTGTTGGCGTGTATCGATCAGGTCAGGTGGATGGGAAGAGAACGGACACCGGAAGAGCGTTCCCGTTAATTGCTGCTCCTGATTACTTATTTGCTCGCTGTTAACCGCGACAGAATTGTGTACGTGCGAGAGGCCGTTTTTAAAGTTGTGCAAGAGATTCTCTGTTAACTCGATGGCGAGATGCCGATCGATGGCAATGCAAGACGCGTCCATCGTCTCCAAAACCGTGCGAGCGCGACGCGTCGGAAATACTGTGCACTCTGTGCCTACTCCGCGTCCTCTAAACTTACGGCCCGAATTCTTAGTCCCTCCGTTTCACAATATAAGTCATTTTAATATTTTTTATATTTAAATTAATGTTAATGAATTCAGACATATATATATCTATTTATATTCATTAATATTAATATGAATGTGTAAAATATTAGAATGATGAAACGGAGGAAGTATACAGTACAATACCGCCTCGGACGGGCACCTCAGGGCGCAACATTACTGCATCGTATTAGCCCACCCGAATCTAGTAAATCTAGATGGAATAAGATCACTTTGACTCCCTCAACTGACCACTAAATCTAAATCGTATTCCTCAACCACAATACCAGAAATCTTAACCCCCGAACTTACAAAACCGGTGTAATTTGACTCCCTTGGTGGTTTTGGAGGGTGATTTCGCTGACGTGGTGCACACGTGGCAGCGTTGATCCGGTCTTTGTCCCACGTGGCATTGACGTGGCGCTTATGTGGCATTAAAATAAAAAAATATATGCAGGGCCCAGTCATTCACCCAAAAATAATTGTGGGACCCACAAACATGTAGGTCCCACATGTCATCCTCCCTCCTCTATATTTCCCTCTTTCGCTTTTACAGCGGCGTTCGGATCGGCGGCGGCGACGGCGGGCGATGGACGAATCAACAGCGGCGGGCGGGCGGCCATTGGAGTTGCGGATCCGGAGGCCGGATCTGCCCCTCGCTTCATTCCTCCTCCCGATAGACTGCGCCATGGCCGTCGCCGCTGCGCTGCCGACCGTCGCCGGGGAGCTAGCCATGGACGAGACTAAACATTCACAAATCTCACCAGGGCTGGCCGCCTGGGCCCAAGGTAGAGCTGGCCGGCTACTAGGAGGACGCGGGAGCTCAGGTCCCTCGGCGGCGGTGCGGGCGCTCCAGCTATGGCGGAGAGGGTGGCTTGCTTTGGAGGGGGATAGGGAAGAGGACAAATATTGCCCGCTGGGCAGTAGCCAAAAGCAAAGGAGTACTGGGGCACATCTATACACGAGCTAGACAAACGACAGATCCTACAATGCTCAAAACCAAAACCACTACATCAGTTCAACATCTCGAAACAAGAAATTGTAAATTGAAAAAACAAAACAAAATAAGCCACGGCAAATTGTCCAAATTTCACGCGTCGACGAGGATGCACAAGGAAGGAACTAAGAGTACTAGAGGTTTACTTGTTCAAATCGTTAAACGATTGGTTGGAATTAGTGGGAGGTCATCGGGAAGCGTCGACGGTGAAGGCCTAAACCGTCGGCTTGTACCCCTGGCCGCGCCGAGGCTGACCAGCACGGACTTGAGGAAACTCCTTTCCCAGCGACATGGCTCCGGCGCCCTCAAAGGACACCGCTTCTGACGTCGACAAGGACGGTCGCTGCTCCATGCATGGCTCCGGCGACGACGGGAGGGTGTCATTAATGGCGCTGCTAGAGTAGGCGGAGCGGTGGCGACGGCGGCCGGGGACGCCAGCCTGAGGCGCATGATGAACGCCGTCTTGGTGACGCCCACGCCGATCGTCGCCGCGAGCACCGAGTTGCGGCTAGCTATGCCGGCTGCCTTGAAGATGCTCGGGCCATACAACACCACGGCCTCGATGCCGGTGAGGTGCTGGAAGAAGTGGATCCCCAGGGCAGCGATGACGATGCGCTGCACCGGCGGCGTCGGGTGCAGGAACGCCGAGGGAGCCGACGCTGACGCCGGCGACGCAGCGGCCGGCGAGGAGTGCAGCGAAGTTGGGGGTGAGGCCCATGAGGACGGAGCCCGCGAGGAGATACAGGCGGCGAGATGGAGGAGGGAAGAGAGGGAGGAGGAAGAAGGGATAAGAGATAATGACATGTGGGACTTACAAGTCAGTGGGTCCCATAATTTTTTTTTTGGTGAATGACAAATGGGCCCTGCATATATTTTTTTATTTTGATGCCACATAAGCGCTACGTAAATGCCACGTGGGACAAAGATCTGGTCAACACTGCTACGTGTGCGCCACGTCAGCGAAACCGCTCTTCAAAACCACCAAAGGAGTCAAATTACACCAGTTTTATAAGTTCGGGGGTCAAGATTTCTAGTATTACGGTTGAGGAGTACCATTTAGATTCGGTGGTCAGTTAAGGGAATCAAAGTGATCTTATTCCAATCTAGATCGCGACCATCCGATTTGGGCCATCTAGTCTTATGCCCGAGAAGAGATGCACCGCACCAGAAGGCCCATTAAAACTTCAGTCGCGCATGCATCCAGTTGAGGCCCACAATATATCTAGTGCCCCGGTCCGGCCAGCCGTGAGCCCACGTGAACCGCCAACCGTCTCCCTCGCCGATCTCGGCGTCGCGAGTCGTGCGTGACCCAACGCCGCCCGCGTTGGCGGCACGGCGCGCCGGGCACCTCCACGGCTCCACCCTTCGCCGCGCGTGCCTCAACGATGCCACGCCGTGGCGTGCATTCCCACGTCATCCGACGAGGGCGTGCGGCGTGCCTAATCTACGGGCCCAGCGAGCGAGCGGCGGCCGTCGCCGCCGCGCCGCGCCGCGCTCGCTCGCGTGGCCAAGATCAACGGGAGCAAAGACGTTGTGGTTGGTCCTCGTGGGCCGCGTCAAAGGGGACACGCACGCGACGGTCGAAACTGTACTGGTCAGTCTCAGTCTCAGTCCGGAGTCATTGCTATTTACAACTCAATAGCGAACAAAAGCGATTTATTTACATACGTACAATCGTATGTACAATCTATACTAATTTTTCAGGAGATATGCAAGCTACACTGACAAATTACATGTTTAAACCTAACGATTATTCTCTGAATCATTAGTTCGTGTACACTTGCTAGCAGCTACTTCTTTCTATACTGCAATCTAGCCTGTCCATGCAAGGAGATAGGACTGAAAACTAACGAAATCTTGGGACATTTGCTCAAAGACCATGAGCACAGAGAACACCCCCATCCCTACTAAAACTGGCTTTGCACTAGTCAAGTCCACATTGCCACTGCCACCGGCGACAGATGATTCCGCTTCGACAGATCCAGCTCTCGAATCTGACATCCTGGAGGCGATAGCCCACGCCATCAATGGAGGAAGAACGCCATACAAGATGGTCATGCAGTAACCGCCCTGAACGTTAGGAAATCAACCCACCAAGTAATTAATCTTCTGTAAGTGTCGGAACCATGCTAGCTAGGATGGCAAGAACTGAAGGATTTCACATGTATTGGTGTACACTCACTGCAATGTCAGTAGCAATGGAGAATGAATTCGGAACGGTAGCTGCAATTAGCACGGTTGGGGCAACCACAGCCCCTGCAGCGATGTAGCTGAGCCTGTTGTTGTCCACAGCCGTTTTCGCTCCACGATGCCTTAATGCTTCTTCTTCCTGCACTCATCGATTGTTTGTTCATAAAACTGAACAGATTGTTCTTAGATATAAATTAATGCAAGTCCTCTGGCTGATGAAGCATACATGTCCTTGGGCTGAAGAAGAGACAAGATTGGTCATCTGCTCAATGAAGAACTGTGAAGCTCCCAGCAGTGTTCCGATCAGCGACGTCCCGACAGCAAGGAGTGAGAACGTCTCCACAACAGTATAACTCCATCTACAAAAGAAAGAAAATTTTGTCCTGTTAGGATTCAACGCCTCCAGCTTCATACAGAGAAGCAGATTGCAGGTGAAGCTGTACACAACGTGTTCTTGCTAGTGCAGTAGTGCTACAGCGGAGACGCTCACTCTGTATTAAGCATATCCAGGATGTCAAACCCATCAAGATCCGTGGAGATGCTGAGCGCGATGTCGTCCCACACGAGCAAGGACAGCAATGGCACGATGCTCCCGACGAGTATCGAGAGCCGAATCCTCACGAGGTCCCCTCCAAGGTACGCGCATATCACTGCGACAATTGCACACTGAATCTTCAGTACTTGTACCTCTTGCAAGTTGCAAATTTCATCCGTGGGATGATTACATAAGTTGCATTGCATGTACCTGGTGCGATATCATGGAAGACCAGCGTGAAGATGATCACCGGAAGCGTTGCAGGGACCTGCTCCCAGTTGGTGTTAGCTGGCAGGGTCAGGCCGGCACCGAATGCTACTGCAGACACCTCGATCGTCAGCAGTAATCCTGCATCAGTAGACAGATCACGATGGTAGTTAGTACTTAGTACTAGTGCGCAAGACAGATCACGTTGATGACAGCAAGAACATGAGGTGTATGGATGTAATATGGTTATCAGCTACAGTAGGTTTGCTCTTACTTCAGCACAGTGCATTGTGTTGCAAGTAGTATGGAGCTCCCAGTGGGGAGAGTGGGTGTTTGTTCGTCATTGTCTCTACACTTTCAGAAATGAGTTACTACTCCACTACATGCCATCTTTGAATTCCAGTTGGGCGAACCAGTGTTTGTTCATCTCTGTTTTCACAATTTCAGAAACGAGTTACTGTTCCATATGCTGCTACCATCTTTAAAGTCACATTTTCTTTTTCTTGCTTAATTAGCTTGGAGATGTTCAGACAGCAGAATTTCTTCTGAAAGAAGACGGCTGCAGATGCCAAAATTTGTCATTTAAGCGTATTAATGCAGATCTAAACAATGTGGTATTTAGTACCGTTGGCTGTTCCAAGTGTTGATCACAACGATAGCTTACCAACCTATCATGACGAAAGTGAGCAGCTGGTTCACTTTGTCGGTGACGCCCGTGCCACCGGCGGCGATGAGGAGCGCAAGGGCGGCGGTGAAGGCGCAGCCGGAGACGGGCTCGGGAACGCCGGCGACCACGCTGGAGAGCACCTCGCCAGACTTGGACGTGTAGGCGACCATGGAGGTGTAGGACAGGAACAGGTAGGCCGCGGCGGCCAGGTTCCCTCCCCACTCGCCCAGGGTCTCCTGCGCCATGCTCTTCAGCGATATGACCTCCAGCTGCCCGCCGCCGCCGCCATCGCCGTCGCCGCCGGCGTCCTTCCCCTTCTTCCGCCGCAGGTGGACGTTGATCTCGACCAGGAGGAGCGCCTCGATCACCAGGAACGCCCAGCAGGTGACCATGCACGCCGCGCTCGGAACGAACCCCTGCCAATTGCACGACCATCAGCAATGCCAGCGACCCTAGTAAGAGTCACATCGGCGGACCTTAATAAGTTAAAGCCAAAGTTTATTTTCTTAAAACTTAATTTTTAAGATGATTTTAAGATATTTTCAATGCATTTTTTTCAAGTATTAACTTTTAAATCTCTAAAAACATGTATATAAAAATTTTACCTATAAACTAATTTTTATTTTATAATAAACTGTTTTGATTTATTGGAGAATATGAGTAATCGACAAGAACTTAAACATCCACCATACAAAGGAAAAGTTCAAGTTCAGATTTTTCTTCTTGTTCCATTTCTGTTCGGGAGATTTTTTTTTTTTTTTACGAATTTGCCAGATCAAGAATGCTTGAGGTTGGTGGGTCGACAATTAACCAAGTGAACCTTGAATGCTCGTAACTACTCCTCACAACAAAGACAGAGAAATTCAGCTGTTTGTGGGGGGTACATGTGGACGGCTACTTCAGATCTGTCTCATGATAGTACTACTAGAACTGCTGCTACTACTTTCATTTTTGGCGATCAGATATCCTGTCAGTTCCGTGCCAAATTCATGGTCCTGAATCCTGATAGATGGGCCATCACTAATTACTTCACCGTACGTTGTAGACTAGTATTAGTAGTATAATCTTTCGGTGTCATGTGGAAAGGTCAAGGCAAGAGAGGGACCTGTCACCGGTCCGAGATATGAATATACTTCCTCCGTTTCACAATGTAAGTCATTCTAGCATTATCTATATTTATATGGATGTTAATGAATCTAGATAAATATATATGTTTAGATTCATTAATCTAGATTCATTAACATCAATATAAATGCGAGAAATGTTAGAATGACTTACATTGTGAAATGGAGGGAGTACTACGATGAGAGGGTGATTGATTCCATCGATTTTTTCGCGTTGTCTTCCTCTAAAATCATGCACCGTGTTGATCACATGTCGAAATCGGCGCAGGCGATCGTTCGTTTTAGGGATTCTGATTGTGATGATGCTAGCAATAGGCTCGTCAGGTGTAGGGTAGTACGGCGACTCACCGCGGGCGCCGTGCGCTGTGGCACGGCGAGGATGCCGGAGCCGATGCTGGTCCCGACCACGAGCGCGGCGGCGCCAACCACGCTCCCCCGCTTCGCGCCACCGCCCGAAGACGGCGCCTCTGCCACGCCCGCCGCCACATCTCCCTCCCCCTGAGGCGGCGGCCGCGCGTCGCCGCCGCGCGCTCCCGCCGCTCTCACCTCGGAGACGGCCCGGGCCCTCTCGCCGGTGGCTGCACTACTGCCGCACCACTGGACGCCGCCGCCGCGATGGACTCTCCTTTCCGGCAAGCATGTCGTGGTCGTCACTGGGATGCACCGGTACGGGGCGCGGTGGAATCTAGCTGGGCGGTGCTGCAAGCGGGCGCGCGTGATGGCGCCTTGCATCGGGGAGGTTTCTTGGGTGTTTGTGAGCTAGAGCTGCGGACTGGAGGGAATCCCCATGGCGGTATATTCATCGTAGGAGTGACGGAGTGCGTTGTCGAGTGTCGACCACACGATCATGTGGAATCTTGAGCTCCGGTGGTGGGCGGTGGAAGCGGAATCTTTTGCAGTTGTGGAGCAGGAGCGCGCGCGGACGGACACGGTTGCCGTGAGACTCTGGACCATGAAGGCTGATTTTGTTTGGAGCTATACATCTCCATCAGTGGTTTGTGGCTGACAATATGTGAAAAATAAACTTCGAAAATAGAGTAAACTAGCATGGTGGTCCAGTCCGCGCAGATTGCGCGGCTAGCATCATTATATTTTCTCTCATATAATAACATATATGTTTTTTTATTATATTATTCAAATATATTAAAATGACAACATAATTTTAAATTTTGTAACAACTTTACAAAACTACTAATGTGTAATATTCATATTATATTTTATATACTTGTTAGTTATTAATTATTTTTAAAATCAAAATTTAGTTATTTGCAAATTATATATATTCTTATATGGACTCTAGACTCGTCTTTTAATATTTCTTTTTTAAAATTCCGAATTTTCTGTAAATTGTATTTATGTATAGACTCTATGCTCTTCTTCCAATATTATTTTTTTTATTTCTGAATTTTTATATTATATTTTATATACGTGTTAGTTATTAATTATTTTTAATATCAAATTTTAGTTATTTGTAAATTATATATATTCCTATATGGACTCTAGACTCGTCTTTTAATTCCGAATTTTCTGTAAATTGTATTTCTATATAGACTCTATGCACTTCTTCCAATATTATTTATTTTTATTTCTGAAATTTTATTATTTCTAATTGTATTTCCATGTGGACTCTAAACTCATTTTTCAATATTCTTTAATTTTTAATTTTTAATTTCAGTTACTTCTAAATTGTATTCCTATATTTGTATTCCTATATTGACCTTAAACTCTTCTTCCCGTGTTTTTCTTAATATTGAATTTTAGTTATTTGTAAATTGTATTTTTATACGGACTCTAAACTCTACTTTTAATTTTATTATGTTTATTCCAAAATATAGTTAGTTTTAAATTCCTATATGCACTCTATAATCTACTTCTAATATTTCTTATTTTTAATTCCGAATTTCTATTTTTTTCTTAATTGTATTTCTATATGGACTCTATACTTTACTTCTGATATTTCTTATTTTTAATTCCAAATGTCTATTATTTCCTAATTGTATTTCTATATTGCCTCTATACTCTACTTCTAATATTCTTTATTTTTAATTCCGAATTTCAGTTATTTCCTAACTGTATTTCTATATGGACTGTATACTCTACTTCTAATATTCCTTATTTTTAATTCCGAATTTCAGTTATTTCCTAATTATATTTCTATATGGACTCTAGTCTCCTCTTCTAATATTCCTTATTTTTAAATATTTCTTATTTTTTTTTAATTCCAAATTTCAGCTATTTCTAAATTGTATTTCTATATGGACTCTGCTTTTTCTTTTTCTCCGATTAATGTGAGAATTTCTAGGCCATGAGAGCGAATGCGGAGGGTCCTTTTTCTATTCCTTTAATAATATAATAGATTACTGTTCGTGCTGTATATTCTTGCCAAATATTTTTAGGAGTGTTAATTTAATAGGGGGTAAAAGAGAAGGTTGAGAAATAGGTAAACGGGATGATTCATTAGCGCATGATTAATTAAGTATTAATTATTATAAATTTGAAAAATATATCACTATGATTTTCTTAAAGTAACTTTACATATAATTTTTTTCCATAAAACACATCATTTAGTACTTGGGAAGTGTACGCATGAAAAAGTCAAATCTACTCACAATCTTGTGCAAATGAAAACACCCTTAGGCCATCACCGATGCGTCTCTGGGTCGTTCCCTCGCCGACGGACATCCGCTTTTCCGTCCGCGTCAGCTCCCTACGATGGAGCGCATCCCCCGGCCCAGGGACGCGTCTCTCGCCACTTTTCAGCCGAGCGATGCAGCCGAGGGATGCATTGGGAGGGGGATGGGCTCCTGTGGACATCGGTTCCCCAACGAGTTTTCCTATTTCACCCCTTGGTAGAGCTGGAGTATCCGCCGACCGAGGCGGACCCACAAGAGAGATAGAGAGCGGCGGCAACGACAAATCCGCGGCGGAGTAGGCACCTCATCCACCTCGTGCTCGCCATCCGCCGCCTCGACTGCCGCGATCAGCACGGCGCTCGCCACCGTCCGCCGCCTTGTCCACCATGCGCTCGCCATCCGCCACTGTCCGCCGCCGCGACCCGCGCGGCGCCGGATCTGCCACCTCCGGGGTCGCCGCCACCACCTTCCACGGGAGAGAGAGAGAGGGGGGGAGAGAGCGGCGGCGGCCTGGGCTTCTCTCGGTGCTCTCGCGTGGATGATGGAGAAAGAGAGAGAGAGAGAGAAGAGAGGGGTAGAATAGGAAAGAGAGGAAGAGGAGAGAGAGAGAGAGAGTCTTTTTTGGGTTGGGATACTCATTGGGCTACCCAGATGTGACCTGCATTATAGAGGTGAGTACCCCTAAAATCCCTCAGATAGTGAGGACACCCTAGAAGTGGCTCATATTGTTGATGCCCTTAGACTACCCCTTGAAGCATTTTTTTTCACTTTGAAAAGTGATCGCTGCCAAATGTTAAGCATTGGATCAGTTGTCTCACGTGTAAGTGAGACATGGACAGCAAAAATGGTTCCTTATTGCCTGAAAAATAGTCCCTGTTACTTAAAAATCTATCCGGGACTTAAAAAATATTTTTAGTCCCGATTTAAAAGCACAATAGGACTAGGTGATCTTTAGTCCCGGTTGGCACCAAAGATCATCTTTAGTCCAGACTGATTCCATGTCAGGCTGTGTTAGGACGCCCAAGATTTTTACTAAATATACTAACTTTAATTCCGATTGGTATTACCAACCGGAAATAAAAATCAAAACACTATATATAATTTTTATGACTTATCCTCTTCTCCCATCCTCAAAAACTCCTCGTCTCCTCTATATTTTTTCCTCCATCTCCTTATCTCTCTTTCCTGTACCTGTTTTTCCTTTCTTTCCTTATCTCAGCGCGGGGAGCGGCTGGGAGCGAGCCGAGCGCACGACGAGGAGATTGGGCGGCGGCCGGGCGCACGAGGAGACGGGGCAGCAACCGGGCGTGGTCGGCGGCGGCCGGGCTGGGGAGGCTGGGAGGAAGAATTTGTTTGTTTACGATTTGTGGTGAATTTCTTCTTGAGAATTTGTGATGTATTTAACCGTGACGTGAATATGTGATGTTATTTTTAGAATTTGTGATGTAACCATCTTTGAGAATTTGTGATGTATGCTCTGTGGTTTGGAGATGATTTGGGGATTTCACGATTTGGTGATGATTTGGGAATGGAGTTAAATCAATATGCAAGGAGTTAAAAACAATAAAAAAACTAAAAAAAACTACCAATCGAGACCTGGTCTCTTCATCTTTAATCCCGGTTGGTAACGATCTTTAATCCCGATTATTTCACGCTATAGTCTCGGATACAACCAGGACTACATAGGGTTACGAACTATTGGGTTGTGATCCAAATTTATTTGCACACGTATAAAGGCTAACTTCGGACGGAGTGAAGCGGAGGCCCGTCGTCGGAGGCTTGGGCTGGAGCGAAGTGTCCAGATTCGTTATACTAGGAGATGCCACATCCCCTCATAGGTTGTCTTTTTTTTAGACGAAGAGAGTACGGGGCTGTTTGGTTCTTAACTAACATTGACATAACTCACTTTAGACAATGTTAGGCAGCCACACTTTTTGTGGCCTACAAATTATAAGCCACACTTATGGCAAAGTTAGGTAAAAGATTGAGTCTACGACGTGTGGGGTAAGATGATAAGAAAGTATGGATTGCCATAAGACAATGAAACAAACACAAGGCTAAAACGGTATAACAGTCTAAAATGTATTGTGGTAAGTTGAAGCATTGAACCAAACAGCCTACGCCTCAACTGCAGTCTATCTTCTCCGAGATGGATCCATTGGTGAGCGCCTTGAATGTGGCAGGTGCAGGTTGCCTCGGCAACGTGGGCTCTCCACCTATGCTGTCGTCCTCTCCAACCCCGTTCCGGCGATTCGCAGGCTTTCCTCTCAGCCCACAGGCCGAGCGAGTGATGAGGCGTCCAACTAATTCTGCTCTCGCCTTCATTGCGCCATTTAACACTCGGCGCTCTCGGCTCTCCTCCTCACTACCCCAACTACCCACTCCCCCCTCCACTTAAACGCGCGCGCCCCCCCGCCCGCCTCTCCGTCCTCGGAAGCGCCGCCCACTCTTCCGTCCACGCCTATCGCTCCTCTCCGTGGGTTCCCCCCGCGCAAGTTGTGCGCGCCATGGAGATGCAGCTCGCCGCCGTCCTCGCCTCGCTCGCCCTCGGCGGCGCGCTGCTCGTGCTCGTCTTCGGCAAGTGGTGGCAGCCGCTGGCCGACGCCGACAGGCGCGTCAAGGAGCTCGCCGACGCCGTGGAGGCGCTGCTGCAGCTGCGGTCCGAGCTGCTCAAGGTGGAGCCCGCGCCGCCGGAGTCGGACCAGCTGGCGCGCGCGTGGCTGCGGCGCGTGCAGGAGGCGCAGGACGAGGTCGCGTCGCTCAAGGCGCGGCACGATGGTGGCCAGCTCTACGTGCTCCGCCTCGTGCAGTACTTCGTCTCCACGGCACCCGTCGCCGGGTCGGCCGAGAAGCAGCTCAAGGCCGTCCGCGCGCTCCGTGAGCAGGGCGAGGCGCTGCTCGAGGCCGCGCTGTCCACGCCGCAGGCGCCGCCGCCGCTGCTCCGCCAGCCGGAGGAGCTGGAGCTCCCGCCGGGGACCAGTCTCACGAGGCCCTACCTCAACGAGGCGCTCCGCTTCCTCGGCGACTGCGACGCCGCGCTCGGCGTCTGGGGCGCGGGGGGCGTGGGCAAGACCACGGTGCTCACGCACGTCCGCGACGCGTGCGGCCTCGTCGCGCCGTTCGACCACGTCCTGCTCGTGGCGACCTCCAGGGACTGCACGGTGGCGAAGCTGCAGAGGGAGGTCGTGGGCGTGCTCGGCCTCCGCGACGCGCCGACGGAGCAGGCGCAGGCCGCCGGCATCCTGAGCTTCCTCAGGGACAAGAGCTTCCTGCTGCTCCTCGACGGCGTGTGGGAGCGACTTGACCTGGAGAGGGTCGGCATCCCGCAGCCGCTCGGCATGGTGGCCGGCCGGGTGAGGAAGGTGGTGGTGGCGTCGAGGAGCGAGGCGGTGTGCGCCGACATGGGATGCCGCAAGAAGATCAAGATGGAGTGCTTGAGCGAGGAGGATGCGTGGAACCTGTTCGAGGCCAACGCTCGCGAGGAGACGATCCATCGCCACCCTCGGATTCCTGCACTTTCAAGACAGGTAATCACTTGATCTGTCTTTGTTTGAAATCAGATTGGTTCAAAACAAGCGCTACGTTTAGCATTTTCAGTTTTCCTTCAAAAAATAGATATCTTCCATCCGTTAGATCATACAATGGTACATGCTTAAGTTTCAGTCTAGGTTTGATGCTAACTGTAAGGATTTATTTCGATTGAGAAATGAGATGGTCAAATTCTCATGTCTCCGCTAACTGAATTTCCTTGTATATTTTTTTATAAATGGATTTTCCGATAAACATTAGCTACCTTTTTAAATCAGGATCATCTCTGTGATTTCCTGTTCTTTCCAGCTACTACCAAATTGCAAATCACAAATTGAATGCTATCAGATTATTATCACCCAATGGTTATGGTACAATACTACCCTTTGCAGAATGGTCTTGCAGAAGATTTTAAAATGTGTTCCGTTTTACACAAAGGCAATCGAACAATTCTGTTTCTCTATTTTCCATGATAATCTTTCTGTTTCTTCAATCCTTTTGCACTGGCTTGTTGCACGACTTATCAACGTGTTATGTACTTATGTGCCATCAAGTTTAGTTGATGTATTTCATTTACATTTGATCTGTTCCATCATTGACAACTGCTAATAAATTCGTTCTACAACTAAACAGGTTGCTTCAGAGTGCAAGGGCTTGCCTTTGTCCCTCGTCACCGTCGGCCGCGCCATGTCGAGCAAGCGCACACCGAAGGAGTGGGGCGACGCGCTCGACGCCCTGAAGAAGACGAAGCTCTCGAGCGCGCCCGGCCCGGACAAGATCGCTCACCCTCTAGTGAAATTCTGCTACGACAATCTGGAGAACGACATGGCGAGGGAGTGCTTCCTGGCCTGCGCGCTCTGGCCGGAGGATCACAACATCTCCAAGGACGAGCTCGTCCAGTGCTGGACAGGGCTCGGCCTGCTCCCGGAGCTCGCCGACGTCGACGAGGCGCACCGGCTCGCGCACTCGGTGATCTCCGTGCTGGAGGCGTCGCGGCTGGTGGAGCGCGGGGACAACCACCGGTACAACATGTTCCCGTCCGACACGCACGTCAGGCTCCACGACGTCGTCCGCGACGCGGCGCTCCGGTTCGCGCCTGGCAAGTGGCTGGTCCGCGCCGGCGCCGGGCTGAGGGAGCCGCCGCGGGAGGAGGCGCTGTGGCGCGACGCGCGGCGGGTGTCCCTGATGCACAACGGCATCGAGGACGTGCCGGCGAAGACGGGGGGCGCCCTCGCGGACGCGCAGCCGGAGACGCTGATGCTCCAGTGCAACCGTGCCCTGCCGAAGAGGATGATCCAGGCGATCCAGCACTTCACAAGGCTGACCTACCTTGACATGGAGGAGACCGGCATCGTCGACGCGTTCCCGATGGAGATCTGCTGCTTGGTCAACCTGGAGTACCTCAACCTCTCCAAGAACAGGATCCTGTCGCTGCCGATGGAGCTGAGCAACCTGAGCCAGCTCAAGTACCTCTACCTGCGCGACAACTACTACATCCAGATCACCATACCGGCCGGGCTGATCTCACGGCTCGGGAAGCTGCAGGTGCTCGAACTGTTCACCGCGAGCATCGTCTCCATCGCGGACGACTACATCGCGCCGGTAATTGATGATCTTGAGAGCAGCGGCGCGCAGCTGACGGCGCTGGGCCTGTGGCTGGACAGCACCAGGGACGTGGCGAGGCTCGCGAGGCTGGCGCCTGGCGTGCGCGCCCGGTCGCTCCACCTCCGCAAGCTGCAGGACGGCACGCGGTCCCTGCCGCTGCTGTCCGCGCAGCACGCGGCGGAGTTCGGCGGCGTGCAGGAGAGCATCAGGGAGATGACCATCTACTCCTCCGACGTCGAGGAGATCGTCGCCGACGCACGCGCGCCGAGGCTGGAGGTGATCAAGTTCGGGTTCCTGACGAAGCTCCGCACCGTGGCGTGGTCCCACGGGGCGGCGTCCAACCTCCGGGAGGTGGCCATCGGCGCGTGCCACGCCGTGGCGCACCTGACGTGGGTGCAGCACCTCCCGCACCTGGAGTCGCTCAACCTCAGCGGGTGCAACGGCATGACGACGCTGCTGGGCGGCGCCGCGGACGGTGGCAGCGCGGCGGGTGAGCTGGTGACGTTCCCGCGGCTGCGTCTGCTGGCGCTGCTGGGTCTGCCCAAGCTGGAGGCCATCCGCGGCGACGGCGGGGAGTGCGCGTTCCCGGAGCTCCGGCGCGTGCAGACGAGGGGTTGCCCGCGGCTGAGGCGCATCCCGATGCGGCCGGCGGCGAGCGGGCAGTGCAAGGTGAGGGTGGAGTGCGACAAGCACTGGTGGGGCGCGCTGCAGTGGGCGAGCGACGACGTCAAGTCCTACTTCGCGCCCGTGCTGATCTGAACAAAACAACGTCGTCGTCGCTGCAATCTCGCCGCGCCGTGCCGCGCGTGCGTGCATCCGATTTTCCGATGCAGAGGTTGAAGTTTTGGAGACGTGCTGATCTGTTAGGGAAGGAACGTCGGGGGAAATTTGGTGACTGTTAATTTGGATTATTTTTCATTTTCCTTTAAATTTGGGACGGTTTCTTTTGAACATCTTGTGTTTCGTTGCCAAAAGGAAAACTCAACCGCTGAACATTGCACTTCTTTCTTTGTTTTGCTCAAACTATATCCTATGCTACAAACAAGCAAACTTGAATATCTGATATGTTCATACTAGTTTTGTGCTCGAATTCCCGACGTGATTATAAGGCTGAATTCCTGACGTGATTATAAGGCTGAGTTTAGTTCCAAACTTTTTCTTCAAACTTTTAACTTTTCCATCACATCAAAACTTTTCTATATATAGGCCTGGTTTAGTTTCCAACTTTTTCATCGAACTTTCAACTTTTTTATCACATCAAAACTTTTCTACACATAAGCCTGGTTTAGATTTCAACTTTTTCTTCAAACTTTCAACTTTTCTATCACATCAAAACTTTCCTGCACACATAAACTACTAACTTTTCTGTCGCATCATTTTAATTTTAATCAAATTTTCAATTTTGACGTGAACTAAACACGCCCATACAAATTTCCAACTTTTCCGTCACATCGTTCCAATTTCAATCAAACTTTTAATTTTGGTGTGAACTAAACACACCCTAATACGTAGGACATGCTGATGTTTACTGGGGGGCCCTTCCGGCCTGGGGAGTAGCAGGCTGGGTTGGCTATGGGCCATGGTTTGGGCTGCACCTGGACATTGCAGCTAAATGGATCGGTTAATTACCTAAGCAGTCACTAAAAAGGGCTGATTAGAGTTTTCTTTTTTTTTATCTCGTTATATCTTTTTTTTCTTGTGAGAATAAAGCTAAACTCAGTTCGTTCCTTTCTCAAAGTATGAGATCTGTTATGTATGAAATCTACGACCTGTTTGGATGTTTTCCAGCTTTTGTCACGTGGAAAGCTTTTAAAAGATCTATTGCACACCATGATGAATTCATTACCAGCTTTGACTGGACAAACAAAGATGTATAAAAGAAGGAGCGTATCCTATGCACACAGGCTCTCGCGTGTACACACCGTGTACACCAACTAAAAATTATCACAAAAAATTCTAGGAAAATTCATACATGTACTTTCAATAGTATTACATCTACGTGCAAAGTCGCATCTTCAAATTCATTCTACATAGAGAATAACAAAAAAGATAAAATTCTGACAAAATTGCAACCTTAAAACTGTTAGATTTTTTGTTTTTTTGTTACGGCTAAAATATAATGAATTTGATGTTAAGATTTTAACCCTATGTGTAATACAATTGAAAGTATGTGTATGATTTTTTCTAGATTTTTTGGTGACATTTTTTAGTTGGTGTGCACGTGTGTACACGTGAGGGCCTGTATGTATAGAATATGTTGCCATAAAAGGAAGGGGTGTGATGTAGATATTGTCTGTACTCAACTAAGGAGAGGAGAGGAAGAAGAACAGAGATGTTGAGATGTGGATCTAAATAAACATTTACTGGTGCAAGGAGAAAGCATCCAAAACGCCGCTTGCTAAATCATAGGATACTTTAGTACGAGTGTATTATATAAGTAATCAGGTAAATATGTTGACATGAACATAATTGTAGAAATACATGATCATTTTCATTTGAAGCCAAAATATGGCATATCAAATTCTTAATAGTACTTTGGCTAGTGTTTGGTTTGCTATTAAAATGTGCCATTGGACTCAATCAAAATTTACCTATATTTTGACATTGCCAATATCTTAACATGGTAGCGAAGCAAACAAACCTATAATGCCAATTTTTATTGAATATATGTGATAATTGTTTTCACTCGATTCAATTCAGATTCAAGAGACGATGAGTGGTTAAAAACAAACCACAAATGAAACAAGGAGTAAAGCAAGGGCTTGTTTGGATTGAAGCTAAATTTTGTCCAACCAAAATCATGGCAAATTTAACCGTGTCACGTACGCCTCACTAGTTCAAATTATATACTAGCACAAAAATTTACCAGGTTTTGGCAAAACAAGCCTTTAGGTTGGTTCAGATCCGTTTGTTCTAGCATGGAAAACAAGATAATTTATTAGCGTATGATTAATTAATCATTACTCCCTCCATTCCATAATACAAGGCACAAGTACTTTTTAGATTTGTTCTATAATATAAGGCATACATGCATACATGCTATTAACTAACACATCTTCTTCACTAAAATATTACTATTTAAATTTTCCACTATCAAAATCTCTAATTTTATTGGGTGCATGCATTGTATTTATTAGATTAATCCAAACTATGAGGTGATAATAATTATTTATTGGTCTTTGGGTTGTGTCTTGTATTTTGGAATGGAGGGAGTAACTAAAAACTTTAAAAATAGATGATATTTTTTAAAAGTAACATATATATATATATATATATATATATATATATATAGAACTACTATACGGCACCTTAGGGTGCTACGTATTAAACAATACCTGATACAGCCTCCAGCCCCACCAGGTCCATAATAAGCAGTTAAAATTTAACTCATCGACGACCAATCTCCAATCCACCCCTAGCCCAAACTATGAGGTGATAATAATTATTTATTGGTCTTTGGGTTGTGTCTTGTATTTTGGAATGGAGGGAGTAACTAAAAACTTTAAAAATAGATGATATTTTTTAAAAGTAACATATACATATGTATATATATACATATACATATATGTATATATACATATACATATGTATATATATACAGAACTACTATACAGCACCTTAGGGTGCTACGTATTAAACAACACCTGATACAGCCTCCAGCCCCACCAGGTCCATAATAAGCAGTTAAAATTTAACTCATCGACGACCAATCTCCAATCCACCCCTAGCCGTAGTAGTAATTTTTTTTACTTGCATTTTGCACCGCCTATATATGTATTTGTATCCAGCAATAAGCCCGTAACCATTCAAACCTCCAATTCCCGAAATTTTTGGATCCATCCCAGCACCCAGCCGTAGAATGCCCTACCGGCACCTCACCGCCACGCCATCGTGATCGTCGTGTTCGCGGCGGGATCCGCAGTAGGCAACGTGCAACGAGATCCAAGCCGTGAGTGGTGATAAGTTGCGAGACTTGGTGGCGGATCGGTATCCGGCTCTACCCGTCGGCATCGCCGATGTCAAATTGAATTGGTGTGGCGCCGGCAACAATGCTTTCCCAAGCGCTTGCCTCGATGGCGGGCCTACGGCGGCGGCCACAGGGATGGAGGCGGTTCAGGACTCGGGAGAATAGATGTGCCTCATCCTTCATCTTGGATCTACACAGCAGTTGCGCGTACATGCATGGTCGGGGATGTTGAGGGTGCCATGCATGGATCCCGGTGCTGAGGGGCGTGGCGGCGAGCGCTGGCGTTGTCTGTGAGTAGGCCGGGCTCTACGGCCGGATATGGCTTGTTTTTTGCGAAGCAACTAGCGAACGGTGCAGTCGACAATCGATCTGCGCAGCCCCTACCATCACTGGATGTCGCTCCCTAGGAGCGTGCCATGGAACTTCCATGAGCAGGAGGATCGATGAAGAGCGTCAGCCTTGGTGCCATGCCGGCCATCCTCCATGACATCGACGGTGCCCCCGCGGGCCGCGTGGCCTCGTTGCCTGCTGCAGTGGTTCCATGGATACCGGTGGTGGAAGCTGCTCCCTCGCTGGTGGTGGAAGTACATTTTGCGCTCGACGTAGGGGAGCATGGATCCGACGGTCAGGGATGAGGAGGTCGTCGCTACCTTTAGAGGTTCATACCGCGCTAGTTGCAGAACATTGCTGTGGAGGACAGAGGAGGACGTCTCCTCCAGGCTCCAGGACCACCATGTCCTCGGCGACTCCGCCTGACGAATGCCCGTGTCCTGTAATCCAGCGTTATTTAGTTGTTTTTATCCAATGATATTTTTTTACCCTAAGTTGGTCTCAACTCCCATTTGTAATTTTTTTTAACTCAGGAAGTTAAATGTGTATACGATCGTATTAAACACAGTGCCGTCATTAAGTGAGTAATAAAATATTTATTCAACAATTAATGAGTTATTAACTATAATAATGCAAAAAGGATGTAACAAAAATATTATTGTTAACACACGGAAACTGGTGTGAAAAATATACGGGGAGTAATATCGAGCCCCTAATTTGTGGGGAGTAAAATTTTAACTAAGTTTAAATAGAGGGGAGTAAAATTTTAACTAGGTAGATATACAGGTCTGATTTTGCTATGGAATTTTTTACTGGAATTAATACTACCGGATGTAAGTGGGAAAAAGATTAACAAAATAATTTTATTAGTGAGAATGGACCAACTGCAGTAAATATTTTACTTAACACAGGCTAGCATCTGGAGTGCTGCATGCGGAACGGATAAGTCGGAAGGAGGTGGGAGGAAAAAAAAGAAAAGAATAGCGGTACTGCGAAGGGAGTTAAAAACGGGAAAAGCGGAGGAGGAGAGGGAGGGGGGCGACTGGTACTGGCGTTACGAAACTCGGTGGCGCGTACGGGCGCTACGTAGCGTCACCGTGTGTGTGTGTGTGTGTGTGTGTATATATATATATATATATATATATATATATTAAAAATTGTTCGAGAAATGAAAACGTGAAAAACAAAGAGTAAGGATTGAAAAGGGAATTGCTATACACACCCTTCCTGCAGCCTCCAGCTTCCCTCCGCCAATCCACCATCGCCGTTGGATTCGTAATCGTCGGACACCTCGAATCGCCGCAAAAATAAAGGCGAGCACCCAACCGCACCGCAACCTCCTTTCGATCGGCTCTCCCCTCTCTTCTCCTTCCCCCCTTCCCCTCCTGCAAGTAAAACAAGCGAGAGACTCCCCCCCTCAATGGCGTCCCGGATCGCGAGGCTGCTACAGCACCAGAACCGCCGCCTCCTCTCCACCGCCGCGGAGGCCTCCTCCCGCCGTCCGCCGCGCGCTCCCCTCAGCGGCGCCATCCCCAAGGTAACCCCGCGGCAACCGGGGAGGTTGTAACCCTAAACCCGCTTAAACCCCTGCGCGCCTCCGAGGTGTTCGGCGGAATGCCGACACCGGCTCGCATGCCTCTGTCGCTGTTTCATTGATAGCTTCGTGTTTAAGTGAGCTTTCCGGTAATGTGATGCCCTAGTTAGGTCCCTGAGCCGGACCTAACGCATGCCAGGCGCAGGTTTCACTGAAGTATTAATTGTTGCTTAGGGCAATGGGTTATGCGGTGAGCTCATCTGGAGTCTTATCGCCATTGTAGCATGTGGTTCCTGTTGAATCTATATACTTAGAGCCTAAAGCAATGCTTGATTTGTTACTCTAATAGTGGTAATGAATAGTGCCTTTTTATTTTTCTATATAGACACACCATTATCTCCGACCTTTTTATTTTCTATATAGATACACCATTATCCTGACCTTGTTTCAACTTTTAACTGTTCCTAATCCGAGACTGAATAGATCCTTAAGAAGATTGTTGAATCTGTTCATTGTGTGATAAACTAATAGTTTTTTTTGTGTGTTTTCTGCTCTAGGTGACATATATGTCTTTTTTTACCTTTCGTCTTTTTTTTTTCAGCATGAAGTTGCAAAGGCTGAAGGTCTAAGCTCATCTTCAATCCTGAAGCTCTCTACTTTGTTCATCAAGTGTCTATTTATGCAAGTTTCAAATTTTCTTATATGGTTGCATCCATGTTTCTAAAGATGTTCTGGGTATTATTGCATCTAAGAAATGACCGCTGTTTCTTGTGCTGAGTGGCACAACATCTCCTACACTACATGTTATAAATGTTGTTACTTACTTTGCTTTAATTTAACTGCAAATAAGCATAGAAGCTAAATTGATAGTGCAAATAAGAATAACATGTTAGATGTATCTGAATGCTCACTAAACTCACAGTGTGGTGGCAAATGTACTCGCATCCCTATAAATTTCATCTGCTACCTCAATTTTGGTTCCTTCCTGATCATACTTTTAGGGACAATCTACATATAATTATTTTATCTGCCTACCTGCTGCTTGTCACAATTTTTTATTCAAATTCTTGCAATATTTTTTCAGCTACATCAAAAGAATTGCTAGTTGCTGACATATAATATGCTTTCTTTATGAAACATATATTATCTGCTGATCAAAGATTTTATTTTTTGTTTTTTTAATGTTTTAAGCATAGTATGACAGAGAGTTGCATATTCTAATTTCAAATATTGTACGTACTCTTTCATATACTGGTTTAGAGAGCATTACTGAATGCACTGCCCTTGTAATACTAAGTCAAGCATACTCTTCATACATCAAACCTACTAGACTGAAATGATTTAAGTTGTTGCAAAATGATAGTATGCTATTTACTCAAAATTGAAAGACATTAGTGAATCTTGTGTTGTTGGCTTCTCTAACGAAATTGTGCTGAATACTCAATAGGCATTAAACCTCAGATCAATACTCAATAGACATTCAATGAAGTTCATATTTACAGAAAATTGTTTCTCATCTGTATGGTCTCATCAAGTCATCATAACTTTATTAATTTTCAGACATTTAATAGTCTCACGTTCATGTTCTTTTTTGTTGGATCTTGACCAACAATGCTTTGCAAGTTGCAACATCTTATCTATATTTATTTAGTGCTGAGTGAATTTTCTTTTGGGAAACTTTGCAGCCTCATCTTTAAAAAAATCAAGGTGGTACATGATCAAGTCAAACCCTTCAAGTCCTCTCACAACACAGCGTGAAAGCCACAAAGTATCTACTCATTTAGTTAGGCCTTCTGCATCCTACTCCACACAAGCTTCAGAGCAGAACCCAAAAGAGGTAAGCAACAGCTTGTCTGTTTTGCTATTTAAATTGTTCAATATTTTGTTCCTGCTTTTTTTTATCCTCTGTGAGTACAATTTTCATCAATGTTGTTGGCCATGTTACTGCGGATTATCAAGTACAATACATGACACTATTAAGCATGCCACCTCAGTGAGCATTTGTATGCATACATGTGTAATCTTGAGTAGGCTTCTTTTCATGTCATACAATCAAAACTGTCAGGAATCTTGCCTCAGGGAACTGCTGGATCAATTGTTGACTAATGTATGGGCATCATCTCAGTAATGTGGTGGTGAATAATCTTGTTAGAAAAAAAAGTTAAGAGTTATTCAATTGCTATGAGATAGGGGTGATTCCGTATATGTCGGAAATATAATGTTTTTTCGTTATATCAACATAGTTAACTGCTAGGTGCTCTGGTGTTCATAATCTCAGTCTACCCAAATATGCTCCGTAATTTTACTTAAGCCAGAAGAGTAGACTATAGTACTACCTCATACAAAAAGGGAATTCCAAAGAAGATGACCACAAAGCCTAGGTGTCACCTAAGAAACTCAGTAGCACCTAGTCACCCTGAGCGGCCCATGCTCAGCAATCTAAGCTGGGAGGCTGCATAATTAGCCAAAGGCAGTCCAAGTCAGAGCAAGGCATGGCAGTCTGGGTAGGCTTCTTGTTAGGCTGGGCAACCAACTGGATGGCAAGACGTTCACTGCTCCTCTCACCTCCACCCTCCTGGCATTGGCTACTGAATGTGGTCCTCAATCTTTGCTGGCTGGAGTTATAAGAGAGAGGAAGGGCAGCTCCCAGGCAGAGAGGAAGGGAATAGAGGTAGAAGAGACAGGTTTGCTCTATGCCCCATACCTCCTTACTGGCAGGGCAGTCTTGTCTATGGTCTTAGGTTTTCAGTTGGCAACGTATTGCTGGAGAATAATTAAATCATAATTCCCATCAACAAACTAATCACCTGACACATATTTGTCGCCTTGTAATCTCAACATATACATTGCTCCGAACTGTAATTTTTATCAGACATTCCCCCCTGATTTGTTGTTTTCTATTTCTTATTTTATTGCTTATAAAAGACTGATGTCTTCATCCTCAGGGTACAAAAGACCTGAAAACTGTTGAAGATCCATTTGATTCCCCTACCTACAACATACCTGAGAAGCCAGTGACATTTGCTGAAGGGGCTTCCTACAGTCTTGTAATAGTTGCGGGACTTGGAATTGCAGCAGTGGCTGGATATGCTGTTTTCAAAGAACTTATATTTGAACCAAAAGAGTAAGTTTTCTGCATTAATTGTTAATTCTTTTGACTTAGGCACTTAGCTCAACAACAAGTACTACAATCTTTAGTCCCAGGAAGCTGGGTGGACTAGAGGTGAAACCCAAGTATAGCCAGGAGAACCAAAATGTTGGATCTCTAACTTCCACATATTCCTAATACTACTAGGAATGATACCGGTGAAAGAATTATGTAAATTCTTATGTAGTTCTGGCACTTGGATGTTGGATCGCCAACTTCCTCGTACTCCTATCCAAACCCAAATCTTTGGATGCACTCCATGCCTTCAGTGGTCTTTTTACCACTTTCTTCCATTTCAGTTTTTATCCAACCCCTGCCTCTCCTATTTTTCACATGGCTTAAGATTCCACGATGAACCAGTTCCTCAGGAAGCCTCCATTTTGAATGAAATCAAAGGTACTTTAATAATATAGTTGCTCGCATAATTGTATGGCTTATGACAGTAAAATACATTCAAGTCTAACCAGTTATGATAATTTGGTAAGTCCTACAAATATGCACTGTGCAATGGTCTTTCTTCACATTGTAGCGTTAATATTTTGTATAATATGGAAATAGTTCCTTTTTATTTATTTTTTAAAAAACTAATATCACACACACATTTATTAATCCAGATGTTTCTAGGTTTGTTTATGACCCTCACATGTAGCCACTTACGGTGCCAAACTTTAAAGAAACAATCAGTAAGCTATGGATTTTTTTTCTTGTATGCTGCAGCAGAGTGCCATGGCACATTTCTGATTTGATCCTATGCAAGTCACTTAGCAAGTTGGCATGGGTGTTCTTGTTACTTCCTAGTGAAAGTTCTTTTTGTGCTTCGAATCTTTTTCTTATGTTAAATGCATATATTATTATATGCAATTTGAAAGAGCTTGCACTGCTGTTACCATTCTACAGGTACAAGATTTTTGGAAAAGCGCTAGCAAGAGTACAGAATGACAGTCAGGTTTGTGGACATTAGTGCTATTCCACTTCCTTCATACATATCATATTTTCCCCTTGGTACAACTTCATGTTTTCACACGTTTTGTCAGGTTACAGCAAAAATTGGGTATCCTGTTACTGGATATGGCAATGAAAGTAGAAATCGTGCAGCTCGGCAGCGCATTCCTAACAAGGTTTGGACAGATGAGGACGGTGTTGAACATGTGGAGGTAGCATATATTCTTGCCTCTGTTGTTCTGTCTCTTTTAAGTATGTTGATTTATTTGCCACTCAAGTTTAGTGTGGACTGTAACGCCCCGATTTTCGTTCGGGATTAAAAAAAAAACATTTAATAATGCATTTTCTAGAAATTAAATAAAAGATAAATCAATTTAATCAAGTGGAATAATGGGAGAATTAAATGTTTTTCTGGGCGTGACATGGACACATGCTCCTTGACATTTTATTATATTTATATGGCATGGGCTAATGGCTTCATTTAACTGAGGGGAGATTGTGAATGATAACATAGCAAGAGGAAATGAGAAATGAGCACACAAGCTTCTTGACTAGAAAGACTGTTTGAGTCAATGCCAATAATAATACTTAGAAGTAGATATCATCGTGTAATGGCCTTCTCGATGATACTTTGCTCTTTGTGTAATAGTCTTCGTATGCTCTTGCACTTGACTGTTGTTTGGTTACAACTAGATCGTCGGGTGTAATCTTTATGGTCTATCCTTGCTTAATGCAAACATGTTCTCAGTTGTCCCATGTATTCTGTGAAGATACAATTCTTTGTTTATTGGGAAAGGGGGCATTAGGACGGGTTTTGATATTAAGACATATAGTTTGCATGGTTATGCACACGGTTGAATTTGATTGATCACTCGAAACACACTCATCTTATTTAGGTAAACTTCTATATCCGAGGACCACATGGAGCTGGAAAGGTGTATTCAGAGATGTTCAAAGATAACAATGACAGGAGTTGGAAGTTCACATACCTTATTGTTGAGATTGTGTCTCCGCATCGTGTACAACTAATGTTAGAATCTTACGTACCAGCATAAGGATGCAAGAAACAAGCAGTTAGCAGTGGCAGAATTGTTGTAAGGTTCATGCCTCCACACTTACCTATCCAATGTGTACATCTCTCATATTTAGAAATCATCCTTTGATTACAGAAGTTTTGAGTTTTGATCTTCCCCAGTAGCACAACTATCTGAGTCTGATCATTTCTGGTATCTTAAATATGGTGTAGCATGGAAGGACCTAATGTTACTTTGTTCAGCTGAAGGCCATTAAGATACATGCATACATCACAATTTTTATAACACTGCTTAAACAATGGTAGAAACAAGAGCAAGATTACCAGAGTTCGGTTCCTGTTTTATTTGAAATCTTCTTTTATATGGATCGTCCGATGTTCTCTGGATATCTTGAAAAAATGTATTCGATAACCTTTCATAATTCTTTTACTTATTTCAAGCCAGAGCCAGAGGTAAAAAGGCCATACACGGGCTGACGGGAAGCAATCTCCAAGTTCTTGAAAAACAAGTAGTACAATTTTTAGTTGACCATTCATTCCCCTGACCAGCGATTTGTGTTTTACCGTGGTTTAGATGCATTCATCTTAACCACTCAAATATTTTTAGAAGTTAACGTCCCAGAAAAGGTGAGTTTGGCAAATTTAGGGAGATTTGGTAGTTCTCTCTAATTACGTATTACCTGTTAAATATATCATGCATATTTAAAAATCATACAGTTGACGTATGTGCACTTGCAACTATTGGGTTAGCGGGTTAGTTGTAGGTTTAATTTAATTTTTAAAAAGTTTCAAGGCGTGTTCCTAAATTTATGTGCAGTTTCTTCGTTTGCTAAGTTCTTTTTCTGTGGAAATTTTATTCGGAAGAACCTGACCAATTTATGATGAAAAATAAGCTTAATGATAGCGGCCCGTACGGATTTTTAAATACGTTCTCTATATATATAAAAGCTTGGGCTCCGTTTATTGAACAACTCTACCGTTACCTATATTTCAGAATTAAGAGTAATCTGTGAATTTCTTTTGGGATTATTATTATTTTAATGGTACATCGTATGAATGGTGGTCGCGCGGATTTTTTTTTTCTAAAATAGGGCGGCCCTATTTTGGCAAAAAAAAAAAAAACAGGCGGCCACCATTTTTACAATTTTCAATTAAAATAATAATATTAGAAAAAAATTGCAATATGTTCTCTGTACCGATAAGATGTACTTCAATTTCTTCAAACACGTCGCCCCACCAACATTTCAAAAGTGAAACGACACTTCGCAGTTTGCAGGTAAAATGTCAACTTTTGCATGATCATGTTTGTAACTCGTCCCCAATGATCAGGCCACTTCCGGACCCCTGGTCATCTTTTATCCACAATGAGATCAGAAATCCCAGTGCAGATTCTCACTTGCTTTGCAAAGGTCGTGCAAATTCAGAGGTTCGGTCACCTCATTACTTTATCATTCATAGACCAGAGCCATTCTCACATTGCACATACTCCTCCGTAGTACCTGTATATGCTGGACACATATTCTTCTTTTTTTGCCCTTTTGTCTCTCATCTGCAATTGCAAGAGCCAGGTTCAGAGCTTAGCATGGCTACTACTACTAATCCATCCATCTGATCACTATCAAGCCTCTATTTGGTTCAGCCTTTACCAGGGTTGCTTTCATCTGTTAGATCAGCATGCCTGATTGGAGCCAAGCTACGACTACTGGTATAGCTTAGCTTTTAGATTTTAATCTACCTGCTCCCACAATGCAAGGAGTGGGTGTATCTTTCAGGGGGCTCAATTCTTTCCTGTGGATGCATCGTGTTGTCGATTCCAATCTGTTCAAAGATCTCATTCACTCTCGATTTCTATCGGTGTAGCGGTCATGGCTCGCAAGGAAATTGTATGGTGATGGGCTAAGAACATGGAAGCTTATGTTCGTTGTCAGGACCAAATGATCTCAGGATTAGGTGATTCGTCGAATCAAAAAGATAGTTGATTTGTGATCTCTGTCGAATCAGCAGGTCAACGTAACAAACACGCACAGAGAGACAGAGGGTTACTGTCCATAGACTACAGCTACTCACATTCTTTTCAGATTATTCACCGAACTACTACCGTGTTATTTCCTTCACGTTTTCAAAAATACATTTTTCTCAAAAGACTTTATTCTACTACGAGCACTTTGCTGTATGTTATTCGTTAAGTTTTTTTTTTCAAAATATTTTAATTCATCCCTATAACTAAGTAGATAAAACCCATCAACAATCCAGTGAATAGTTATATCATTCTTTTTTCTTTTGCTGAACTCTAAACGACCAATTGACACAAGCAATTATGTCACTCTTTTTAATCTCATAGGCCCATTGTTTCTTCTAGACGGTGACGACCTACGGCTGTTGATGAGGCACACATCGTAATCTGTTAGTAGTTAGTACTCCTAACGAAGAAGTTTGGCGCGTACCAGTGACTTCTGATGGGTTAATAATATCTCTCAGCATTGGTCTGGAAAGGTGTTTTGATATTGACTTATGAAGGTTTCAACTGCATAGTAAACACACTGACGTATGCATATTAGCTTGGAATAATTGGCAGTCACTGCTGCATGATGCAGGCAAGGCCTGCTCAAATTAATGATAGAACTAGAAGAAACTAACCTTCGTACTACGTTCTTGGCCGACGCTTCGGATGTTGAAACATTCTTCACGGTCTTCGCAAGCAAAGCATATGCTTCACAATAATTTTATACGGTCATTTTCGATGACATGTTTCTTCTTATTTAGCTTGCCACATGCCACTAATTTCAACATCAAAATGTTATTAAAGTTGCTTGAAGTTTTCTCAAATCAATCCAGAGGGCCAGGAAGTACCTGAAACAGATCGGTTGCTTGTGTTTCTCACCAAAATGTCTCCCTAAAGCATGCCCAATATCTTGATCAGTTGCCAATTCTCCACTATTATTTCCTATCCATTTCCTCTGTGTCTGTCATCACATGTTCAGCAGAGAAGACAAGCAGAACAACATCACAGCTTAGGGGGTGACATTAAAGAAGTAATACTACTCTCCCCACATGATGCATGCCCATATCCATTTCATATGATATCAAATCATATTACAGCTTCTTCCAAGTGGGCAGCTGGGGTCACCTATGCAAATATCAAGGAAATCCCTAGGACCATACAAAATTTGGCTAGTTTATGTAAAAACACAGAGGTGTGGTTTTGTGCTACTAGCAACAGCATCTCATAAGAGACATGAACAGCACAACACATCAGGGACTGGGATACCATAAACTCCCCTCCTTCCTCCTACCTCCAGGATCATGGCCTACCTGGCTTTCAGCTAATCAGCCACCTACCAAATAATTCCCTAGAGACCAAGTCATAACAAAAGGGAACCCTTAATTAGTACTACCACTCAATCACTCATGGTGAATAAAAGACTTACCTAGATGATGCCTCAGAATCCAAATGATAGCACCATCATTCTCTGTCAGTGTGGACCTTTTTGGGAAGATGAAATAATCAGAAGATGAACATATAGCTTAGCTAGATGTTAATCATGCAGGTCCAATCAACATGAATAACAAAACAAAGGAAATGGATTAATTAGTTCCTCCTCACCAAATCCTCAACAAACTTTAACTAACAGCTTGGTACTAGTACTGCAACACAAATGTTCCCTTCTCTCCTCTACTTCCCTGCTGGCCTACCAATCTAATCCAGTACTACAAACAAAGTCAAACAATCCTTCAGTCTTCTCTTCACCTCCAACCACCATGACAGCAAACCATGAAACACAATCTGACCAAAACACCCCTGCACCACCCCAAATTAATTAACCAGGCTAATCATCCATTAAGAGACTAAGCACCACCACTGAATCTTCTTCCAAGGGTGGTAATGCACACTGTTTCAGAGTTTATCAGAGTTTCAGAAGATTCAGAGCAAGGGCAATCATGGCAATATCAGCTTGAGTTGAGAGCTCCAGTTAAACCTTCCCTATCCAATTCCAACTCCCTCCCTCCCTACACAAGCAACAAGAGCAGCACACCAACATCCAAGAACAAGAAGAGCAAGAAGAGGAGAGGAGAGGAGTTGGAAGGTAGAGAGAGACAAGCCATCATTAGCCACCAAATGCAGGCATGCATCATATAGCTGACAGGACAAGAATCAGAGGAAGAAGAAGAGGAGGAGGAGGAGGAGGAGGAGACAGCTGCTGCCATGTCGTCGTATGACCAGATGCTCGCGCCGCTTCTTGGCGCCGGCCGGTCGGCGTGGACGGCGCACGACGGCGGCGGCGGCGGCGGAGAAGCCGTGGTGAGGCAGATACTCAAGTGCACGAGGTGGCAGCTGGAGGAGACGACGGACTTCGTCACCTGCCCGTACCACTACTACTGCGACAGCTCGTACCCGGGCGACTACCACGCCGCCGTCGGCGTGCTCGTCGCCGCCTTCGCCGCGTACTGCTTCCTCTCGACGCTCGCGTTCACGGTGCTCGACCTGGCGAGGAGCGGCGGCGGCGGCGGCGGCGCGGGCGGGGTGAGGGGGATCAGGAGGAAGTACCTGCTCCCGTCGGGGCCGTTCCTGCTGCCGCTGGTGCTGCTCGTGCTCGCCAAGGGGCAGCGGATCAACGCCGTGTTCCCGCTCGCGCAGCTCGGCCCGGCATTGCTGCTGCTGCTGCAGGCGTCGGCGCTGGCGTTCCGGAACGAGGCCGACGGCGACATCCGGTACGCGGTGCTGGAGGCGTCCACCGTCTCCGGCGTGCTGCACGCCAGCCTGTACCTCGACGCCGTCGTGCTCCCCTACTACACGGGGCTGGAGGCGCTCCGGTGGTCGCAGTTTTCCGGCGAGTGCGCGACCTGCCTCTGCCGCATGGAGCCCCTCGTCGTCGGCGGCACGGCGGTGCGGTACCGCGGCCTCTCCAAGACGGCGCTGGCGATCATCTTCGCGCTGTGCTCGCGGATGGTGTGCCGGATTTACGGCGAGGAGCGGCTCAGCGCGTGGACGCGGTCGGCGCTGGAGGCCGCCGGCTGGGTGTTCGTGGCGGCCGACGCCGTCTACCTCGTCGGCTGGGTCGCCATCGAGGGCGGCGCCGTCGCCGTGCTGGCGTACAGCCTCGTCGCCGGCCTCGTCTTCCTCAGCGTCTTCGGCAAGGTCTACAGATTCTTGGCATGGTTGGAGACGAGACAATCTCAATGGAAATCAAGCCTCTGCCATAGCGCTGTATGATACTACTACTCGTCAGAAAAAAAAAATCTGTAAAAAGAAAAAGGAAACCATTTCTTAGCTCACCTTTTGTTCATTTGTACAATGATTCACACAATGAGAAAACCACAGTTGTAATTTTTTTTTCATGCTTATATATAAGTTCTCTGAAACAAATTTGTTCAATTCTTGGACAAGTTTTCTGAAGCCATTCTGAACTTTTTCTGATGAATCTTCAGAGTTTCTTTTCCATTTTTCGATAGGGTGTTTGAGAGCAGCTTCCTGATTATAGCACACATTAGATATTCAGCTTCGAATTAGGCACGTGTACTACACTTTTGGGGTATAATTAGTTTGAACCTCCGATTTGGCATAAGCATGTCCGGGTTAGTACCCTTAGGTTAGGTCAGAGTGCCACCATTTTGGCAGATGAGAATGGTGCCATGAGAAGTGAATGGGACAAACCGGCAATGATGCAGTGACAATGTGGTGGTTCAGGACATGTCAAGTTTGATCAAGCAAGGACATCACAACTGATGGCTTCTGCGAGCCAGTTCTTGGAGGCTTCCTCTCTGAGAATTGTTTCCTTATGCTCTTTCTCGTTGTCAGCTTGTCATCAATCAATCCTTCACCAGTTTGAGCCGAAGTGGTTGGAGCGTGGTTGGAGCTTTCACCTGATGTCTCACCTGGTTGCGATTTGAGCCAATGCAAGAACAGCACATAAGTACATACTCACTGCAGTAAACTGATGCAAGGACTGCAGAGAATCTGATTCTGATGAAATGAAATTGAAGGGTGGCGACAATGAGTTTTAGAAGTGATAGTAAATGTACTTTTGTCGCATAGTATTTGGCCCTACAATTCGATCTGCAATGAACAAAGTGTTTGACTTGGCTATATGGAATCCCAGCTTTTTTAGCCTCGTGCATTGTCTGAATTTCGAAAGAAAAGGTCGTTGCTTTTTATAAGAAAGGTCTGAAGGAAAGAGTCATCTGCATAACGCCTTCAGACTTCCCCTCGAGCATGATTAGGTACCGGTGATCAGGCCAACGAACTGGAATGGGTCTCTGGTCAAGATTATTGTACAAAATCAATGAGTTCATCGTGCATTGGAAGCAAGCTTAAGGATATAGTTGATTGACACTAGCATCTTGTCACTTTCAGAAGCTAGTGGCTGTGGCTACAATTGTGCAGGAGCAGGACGGCTCATGCTTGTAGCATCCTTGTCTTCCAACTCTTTCCCTTGGCTTTACAACCATGTGCATATAAAGTTCTGATGGTGCCATGCGCTTTGGGAGTAACTGAAGGTGCATCGGATGTACACTAATCAAACTCCAACTTTTGGGGCTCCTTTGAAACACAACAATTCTGTAGGATTTTTTTTTTAAAAAAATAGTTCATTCTTGCAAAAATTCCTCCAAAATTTTTCAATGATACTAATACAAAATGATTTCATTCACTGGTGTGAAACATTATCTTTCATCCTCTCTTGGGACATGGTAATAGCAAGGTTACTAAAATCGCGATCCTGAATCGGAATCAGAAGTTCTTAGTAGTATCACAATCTTGGAATCATACATAAAAAAATCGTAAAATCGTAGATTCTACCTATATAGAATCGTAGAATCAAGCACCTTAATTAGAATTGTAAAGTCGTAAAATCGTAAGAGAGAGTCGAGATTTTGACAACTTTGGGTAGTAGTTACCATTGGGCTGAATCATGTGGTTTAATTAAAGTTTAAACTAGAGTTTATTATTTCAGTATGATTCAGCTACTTTCCATTGCGTGTTGAGGCAAGATTATCTAAGTGTGGACCTGGTCGCTGTTGTGGCAGTTTTATTAGGTGGTCACTGTTCTGACTTGAGTGTACGCTATAGTTTAGTTTATGAAAAATCATGTAGCGATCTCGGCTCCTGTAGCGGCGTCTGATTGCGTACACATGACATGAGTATTGATTTACAATTGTTTTGGGGGAAGGCTAATTAAGCACACGCTTTGACTGCCTCTTTACTACCAATGACCATATGTCGATGGCTGCCTTCCTTGTCACTGCTACGAACGTTTGCCGTCAGTTCATCATAAGCAATTTGAATTTGAATTATTAAAGTTTGATTCAATGCCGACTAGTAGTCTCCTTTGGAATATGGAATGCAGGAATTTCAAAACAACTTTTCCCCCCGGGCAATTTGGAAAGATTTTTACATAACTGAACTAAAATTTTTAAAATGTCTGCAGAATTCATGCGGTCCAGAGAAACCCGTACAATTCTACAAGCCCACAATCCATTTCCTGATTATCTCAAACCAGCAGATAACTCACATTTTTCCAAAAAATGAAAATCATAACAATTTTTGTCTAAGTCACACATTTTCACTCAGCGAATAGTTTTCAAACTGCGAAGTACAATATGCAAATTATGTGTCAAACTATCTATATCTTAATATCTATACTGCTTTAAATGATGCTAGTGGTAATATCTGAGTTTGTTTCTAACGCCACAAACTGATATGTAGGACCATAAGGTCTCACGTGAATTTTTTTTCTTTGCATATGACATTATATGCTTAATCAACTAACTATGATGTGAACTTGTACTTTTTGCTTTTAATTGTATCTTTTCCTAGAAAAAAATACCCGTGCATTGCAACGGGTGAAGGCTATCTTAATTTTATTATTATTATACTGTTTAGTTAATGTGACATTCACTGTAGAAATTTGATTGGATACTGTTTTTACAAGATCATAATCTATAATTAGGAGTCCGATCGTTTCAAGTTAGCATGCGAGTTTTCTTTAAGAGATTTCTTATATGACTCCTTCTATATTTCTAAAAGCAAATGGATTTAACAACTTACTCAAATAAAACTATGTAATTCCAAAAGCGAATAAACTTAAAACCCGACTCAAACGCAGATGACTTACGAAAGTACTAGTAAAAACATTTTTAATTTTTATAATAAGCATAGAAGAGATAGAGATATAATATCCGTTGTAGCGACCTTTAGGTCGTGTACAAAAAATTCTCTTAAATCCGGATAGCTGATAAAGAGAAAAAAGAAGGAAAAAAATACACCAGAGGTCCCTTAACTTGTCATCAAGCTACAAAATCATCCCCCAACCACAAAACTGGATATATGGCATCACTTAACTCACGAAACCGTTCAGTTTAGGTCCTTCGGTGGTTTTGACCCCAGGGTTGTCCGACGTGGCGGCTAAGTCAGCGTGGATCCCACATGTCAGGAAGGCCACATCATCGCCCTCTCTCCTCTTTCTTTCTCCTCATCTCTCCCTTCCTCGGTTCCTCCTCTTTCTCACTCTTCTCCATGGCGGTGGTGGCTGCGAGGCGGGAGGAGGGCGGCGCCGCGGCAGTGGATGATGCCGGGGGGGAGGGGGGCGATGACGGGGGAGAAGGGAGGGCGTTGGTGTCGATGGCGGCAGCGACGCGGGAGAAGGGTAGGGCATTGCCGCGTGGGCAAGGTCGAGGATGGAGACCCCGGCGGCGGCGAGGTGAACGACCTCATGGCATCGCACAAGCATGGCGGCGGCCCGACGGAGCTCTGCTGCTGCCAAAGATGGGCCCGACAGGCATGCATCGGCCGTCGTGGGCGAGCGCTGGGTGGCGGAGCTCAAGGAAGATGAGGGCGCCGCTGCCACCGCCTCCTCGCCCGCCGCTGCATCGTCGGGCACCAGATGTCCTCTCTCGCCTCGTAGCCGCCGCCGCCGCCTTGTCGCCCACTGCCGCTTCGCTGGGTGCCGGATGTCCTCTCCCGATTTGCAGCCGCCACCGCGTCGCTGGGCCTCGGATCTCCTCTCCCGCCTCGCAGCCACCGCCGCCGCCGCCTCGTCGCCAGGCACCGCGTCGCCCACTACCGGCTCTCCTCTCCTGCCTTGGCACGACGACCTCCTCCCCACCCGCCAGCAGCCGTGCAGAGAGAAGCAAAGTGACAAAAGAGAGGGGATGAAGGGAGAGGAGGGGAAAGAGAGATGGTGATGATAGACATGTGGGTCCCACGCTGACTCAGTCGCCATGTCGGACAAACCTGGGTTCAAAACCACCAAAGGACCTAAAGTGAACGATTTTGTGAGTTAAGGGATGTCATATATCCGGTTTTGCGGTTAGAGTACGATTTTGTAACTCGATGACAAGTTGAGGGACCTTCGGTGTACTTTTTCCAAAAAAAGAATAAGCCCGCCCAAGAGGTTAATGGGCCCGGCCCAACTTGATCCGATGCGGGCTGCGGCCACCGACTCCGAATAAGACAACAAGTCCACGGGAGACTTCTCTTCGCCGTCGTGCACACGCGCTCGATTTCCTCGTGTCCCTTCTCTCTCTCGATCTCCCCCTCGCTTTGCTTTCCCCAAATCGCGCAGCCGCCATGGAGGAGAAGAAGCTGTCCTTCTCCATCCCCTCCAAGGCCCGGCCGCCCAGGCCGGCCTCCCGCCCCGCCGCCACCGCCGCCGCCGCCGCCGCATCCGACGACGGCGAGTACTCCGCGCGCGCCCCGGCCCCGCAGTTCGTCACCGAGTTCGACCCCACCCAAACCCTAGCCACCGGGGCCGCGCCGTCCGTCATCGCGCCGCTCCAGAACTCCGGCCACTTCCTCAACCACCGCTCCCGCAAGCCCTCCTCGCTCCCCACCCCGGAGGAGGAGGCCGCCCTCGCCGCGTCCGCCGCCGGCGGCCCCTCCTTCGTGCTCGACACGTCCACCGCCCCCGACAACCCCTCCTCCCACATCGCCTATGGCCTCACCGTTCGCAACGCCGCGGCGGAGTTGGAGAAGGCGGCGGAGCCGGAGAAGACGCCCCCGCCTCCTCCTGCAGCTGGTGCCCCCAGCGGCGACCTTATGCTGCGGAGGTACAAGGAGGACATGGCCAGTCTCCCCGATCACCGCGGCCTAGATGAGTTCCGCGATGTGCCCGTCGAGGGATTTGGTGCTGCGCTGCTTGCTGGATACGGCTGGTCGGAAGGTAAAGGTATTGGCAGGAACAATAAGGGGGATACCAAGGTTGTTGAATATGACCGCCGTGCCGGTACACAAGGGTTAGGCTACAATCCCTCTGAGGCCGACCCTAAGAAGACTCGCGCTGGCGAATGGGTTGTTGGTGGGAACAAGGAGACCCAGAATGGAAATGCGAAGAAGAGAGACCGTGACAGTAGAGGTAGAACAGAGGATAGAGACTCAAGCTCCCGCCAGAAGAGATCCGGTGAGCGGAGGGCAGAGAGAGAGGTCCAAGAAAAGGATAGAAATTCTCGACATACTAAACAAGTTAAGATTGGTGGTGGTGGAGGTGACAAGATGCGGTGGTTACACAGCGATATCAAGGTTAGGGTGGTTAGTGAGAGGTTGAGCAAGAAGCTGTACTTGAAGAAGGGGAGAGTTCTCGATGTTGTGGGACCTACAACATGTGACATAATTATGGATGATCAGTCTGAGCTGGTGCAAGGGGTAGAGCAGGATATGCTCGAAACAGTCCTGCCACGGATGAATGGGCTGGTGCTTTTGCTTGCTGGGGAGCACAAAGGATTATGTGGGCACCTTGTTGAGAAGAATTCAGAGGAGGAGACCGGAGTGGTGGAGCTGTCCAATACAAAGGACATGATACGAGTGAAATACGACCAGATCGCAGAATATATTGGAGACCCAGAGTCTCTTGAGTACTAGTTCTTCTTATTCTTGAGGAGCCAGCATTGTCTACCAAGAGTTCTTCTACGTGCTAGGTAATTCCAATTTCTTCTTAATGGTAAACTATAAAGTTGCTGCTTGGACGTGAAGTTTTGAACAAATTTATAGTTTTGCTTTGCAGTAACATATTTATGTAAGTCTGCTACATAGTGATTGAAGTCTCTCTGAGACCCCGAGTAATGGGTCATCTTGTTTTCATGTCTCCTTTGCGTTTGTTTCTTTCTAAAGCCTTAAGTAAACTGTCATTGGCATTCTAGTAATTAGCAACTTGCAATAATTGATGATTCTGATAGCCCTGCAATGAAGGGTTATATATCAATGTTGGAAGCTTCCTGAACATCCTAGCTTCTTTAAATCTTTTACATTGCTATGCGTGTGAGGACAATCCTTATGGTTATTACTGAGTTGCATAGGCTGTAGGCATGGCCTGATCTCACTGTTAAACTTCAATATCTGCAAACTAAGCTTGTGAAAAACATTTTTGTATGCATCACATTATATTATACATTTACTGTACATTTATAATTAGGAATTTTGTTGAATATCAGCATACACAACTCGCTTGGGACTAAAGTATAATGTTCTGTTGTTGATTTTCCTGGACATCATAATGTGTAAATCCTTGGAAGGGAATTCTTCTTTCAAATATTTGTAGAGCCTTTATGGAGCATACTAAAATTTGTGGAGTTTTCATTAAGGGGTTTTTGATGATTTGCCACTCTTTAGATTGGAGATTTGATGATTTACCATCTTGACCCACATGTCATGAACTCAGAGGGTCCCAAATGTCATTGTCATAGGGTGACAAGTGGCAAATCTGATTATTAATAGGTATTGCAGCACTTATATGAGTTAATATAAAAACTTGCTCTTATTTTGTGATTATCTTGTATGTTAGCTATTGATTGCCATTGGAACACCGTGGGATCCAAACTTTGTAGATCATAATACCCCATGTCGGTCGCATACACATGTGGAGTGCTTCACAGCCATACCATTATGGTACTAATTTCACTTCAAGGACACGCATGACCACAATAGTTGGGCCACAGTATTATACTCACCTGCCTATTAGGCTGACTCTCTTTACACTTATTTTAAAATGAGCTTCTATCATGTGTGCATATTATGAACAATGGTTGCTTGTATCGATTTGATGATGATAAACATCCACAGACATTACCCTGTGATGCCATAATCCCATAACCACATCAACGGGATCTAATTATTGCAACACAACATTAAACTGGTAAATGTGGATTATGTTTATCATTTCTGATGATACAGTGCATTTTGTTGCACCCATCATACAGTTCCCATTTGTGGTGCTCATCATACAGTTCCCTCTTTTTATTTTGCGCCCATCAAACAATCTAAAAAAACATTGTCCTGTGATTTTCCTCACTAATCCATTAACACTTCTTACACCTTCTGGTTCTTCATTTGCATGCTGACAAGTAATGGGGTTATTTGTAGAATCAACAATGAGAAGGTCAATAACCTTCCATCAAATATGTCATGACCCGAGGCCATGACTAGATAAACACCGTTGGGAAGATAGTCGGGCGGTGTCGGCTCCTGTAGAAGGGATACAGATTTTGTCTAGGGAGAAGAACATTGTTGGGAGGGATAGATTAGACTAATTGATATTCATTGCTTAATTCATAATAAACACAACCCCATCCTTATATAGATGGTACCAACTTGACCCCTAAGTAAGGACTTAATTTATCTTATCTCTAACTAACTAATAATAATATCTCTAACTTAATTGATCTGGGCTGCCTATGGGCCTCTGCCTTCCGGCCCAATGCCCATGACAAATATGCATAAACTTTTGACTAAGTTCCTTTGGAATATCTTGAATGCACCCTTTCGGTCAGCAGCTTCCAGTTATGTTGGCACATATTACTCCATAGTGCAAATTGGTTTAAGCCCATTATTTCTTATTCACTGATGCATAAATGCCTGGATTTTACTGTATTACTGCTCTAGTAATATAGAATATAATTGGTGGGCCTAATTTATGTTTTTAAAATGGAGGAATGCACATTTCCCCGAAGATGTCCTTGATGGATTGTAACTTTAAGGTGTTAATGAGGGTTACATAAACCTGAAAACAGAGAAGCCAATTGCTTATGGATGTTGCAAAAAAGGCAAGTCTTACTCCACATGTATGTTTCATCTTGCATTTAACATGTGATGATGTCCGCCTGTTTTTCTCTTCTTTTGGCATCAGTAACTTCTGCTTAACCATAATCAGCAACAGCTCCATCAAACTTAATCTTTTTTTCTTTGGCAATAATATCAATCTTGATTTTTGCGAACTATCTCGTAAATGCATGCAGTTAAACCTCCTAACTAATACTCCCTCTGTTTCATATTATAAGTCGTTTTGCCTTTTTTTTTCTAGTCAAACTTTTTTAGGTTTGACCAAGTTTATAGAAAAAAAATAGCAACATCTACAAGACCAAATTAGTTTTATTATAACATTGAATATATTTTGATAATATGTTTGTTTTGTGGTGAAAATGTTGCCATATTTTTCTATACACTCGGTCAAACTTAAAAAGTTTGACTAGGAAAAAAAAGTCAAAATGACTTATAATATGAAACAGAGGAAGTTCTCTTCTTTTTTTTTCTTTTTTTTTTTGGGTGAGGAACTAATAGTTCAAATTTGGTTTCCATTGTTATCATCCTGAACTCATACAGATCTATCCAAAATTCCTTACCACAAATAGCAACAATTTCATAAAATTTTTTTTGTTTTGGTAATACCATCAAATCTTGAATTTGTTAAGTATCTCATAAATGCACAGATTAAACCTTTCAACAGTCCAACCATTATCTATACAAAACTAAGGCCCTCTTTGTTTAGGCTTATAAGCCAACTTATAAGTCGAAAAGTCTAAGCCAAAACAAACAAGCAGCTTTTTCATTTGGCTTTTTTAAGCCATAAGCCACTCTAACACTATTAAGCCAAAAGCTAGGTTGGAGAAGCTTTTTTTTGGCTTATATGAGATAGATGTATGACTCTACCATTAAACTTAGGACATTAAATCCACTGGCTTATAAATCATATAAGCCAATAAGCTGACTTAAAAGTCTAGGCCAATAAGCCTAAGCCTAAACAAAGAGGGCCTAAGTATCTCATAAATCCTCGGATTAAAATCTTCTAATAATTCATGTCTTCACCTTTATCTATCTAAAACTAAGTATCTCGTAAATTCACGAATTAAAACCTTCTAATAGTCCATGTTTTCACTGTTATCTATCCAAAACTAAGTACCTTGCAAATTCACGGATTAAAACCTTCTAACTGTGTTTTCACTGTTATATATCCAAAACTAAGTATATTGTAAATTCATGGATTAAAACCTTATAACAATTCATTTTTTCAATGTTATCTATCACAAAGGCTCATTAATATGTACCAATTGAACCCCATGCTTCACTTTCTCTCTATATAACCTTCCATGTAACCTCAGCTCACTGCTCATCATGTACAATCGCTGCACACCATTCTTTCGCTGATACATAGGCAAGCTGTGCTAGTTACCAGCTAGGAGATGGTGAAGTGTAGGGCACGCACGACTAGGAAAAAGATTGAGATCAAGCGCGGGGACAAGAAGGTACGAGATGCATGCTTTTCCAAGCGCCACACTACCATCTTCAACAAGGCCAATGAGCTCGCTATCCTCTGTGGCGTGATGGTTGCTGTTGTTTTTGTCTCTCCCAATGCCAATGGCGGGATTTTCTCATTTGGCTACCCATCTGTCAGCTCTGTGGCAAATCGCTTCCTCGCCAATGCTCCAAACAACACCAGTGTGAGTAGCTCAACCCAAAGCGGGAGGGATGTGGAAATCCGTGAACTAGAACGTGAAGAAAGAGAGTTGAAAGAGCATCTACAAGCTTCCACAGATCAGAATAAGCTTCTGCGGGAGGCAATAGCAGCAAGGGATGGAGGGCAATTGATGCTTCTCCTGCAGAGTGATTGTAGTGAGTTGGGACCAAAAGGTCTGGTGAGAGGAGGAACAAAATATTGAAGGATAATGCCATGCGTGTCCATGTTTTAGCAAAACCATAATTTCTATCTGGTTGTTAGTGTGCACCCTTGGCTTGGCTCTCCCTGTAATGTTGCTTGTAGGGTTTGCTCCATGGGAATTCTCTATGATTATTTTGCCAAATGATGAGAACAAATTTATCATAATAATGTTGTGGTTGTCATATTTGCAAGGACTGAGTGCGTAGATCTATATATTAATATTGGTGGTGTTGTGTATTTTATTTTACTTCTAGTGCTCAGTTCTCTTTAGACCTTGTTTCTTTTAATTCCAGCTGCTCTAATCTCTTGTAATTGGTGAATTTATATTATTTGTCCTGCTTGTGATGTTATATCTATCTACTTGTTTGTATGTTTGTTGCATCAAATATAGTTTTCATTTCGTGGGAACTTATACCATTATCTCATTGTGATCATTAACCATCAGTTTAATCTTTAAACGTCTTGTCTGTGCAACATTTTTGCTTCAGTCTCTCGTAATCTATTATGTTCATGGTGAACTTACCTATCCAATCTTTAAACCCATGATGCATATGCAGGTGAAGCTGAAAGTAGAAGTGAACTTAACATCATAGCCTACGCAAAGCGGTGAAAACTGACATGCTTTCAGATGACACATGTACCATTCTGTCCCATGGGTTTATTGACAATCAACTGGATTTTATGTATTTGAAGTATGATGCCCTTTCTCTGATTCGCATATCAATGGAAAAACTCAAAACCGTCTCTAGATTTTGCAGATGACAGTTACGAAGTTCTCTGAATTGCCTCAATCATGTCTTCATTTCTAATTTGTAGCTCTTCTTCGTTCCACAAACTCACTGCTTGTGCATGATATATGCAGGTGGCAGTTGTGCGGTTGTGGTTCCGCAATTCTCTTGTTGGCATTGGGCTTGATCGGTTGTGCTGGCTGCTGCAGCAAATACTCTTTGGTTTGGATTGGGGCTGACTGACTACAGCTGCGCTGCTGCAGCCAGCACTTCCGATCAGGCTGATTACTTTCTGCTAATATACTGTGAGATAATTTCCTGTGCAGAAATATTACTATTTTCTACATTGTACTAAACAACACACGGAGACATACAAATCGTGCTATTTTCCAGTTTCGTAATTCCGTATGACAATGGAACGATACAGTTAATGCACATGCCCCCTTGACGAGATAAAATTCCACGGAGGTCGCGCAAGGAGAGGTGCGTGTTTGATCTGCTAATACGTTGGAGGTCGAGCAAGGAGAGGTTGGAGGTCTAATGTGTTGGAGGTCGAGCAAGGAGAGGTACGTGTTTGATCTGCTAATGCCTTACCGTAAAACTGTCGTAGCACTTCTATTTTGATCTAACGTGCGCCATCTTTATTTTAACATGTAGAACGTTATCTAATTGAATGAATATTCTATTTTATTCCTTGTGTTTGTGAGCCATATTTTATTTATTTTGATCTAACGTGCGCCACCTTTATTTTAACATGTAGAACGTTATCTAATTGACTGCATATTTTATTTTGGAATGTCAGCTGCATGTTTGATTGATGTACGATGATGTGAAATTGTTCATACGCATGTGTCGAGATGGATAATTAGGGGGTGTAGGTGGTGTTCGTAAGACCAAGGCTGTGGCCACACAGCCTTTTAGAATGCCTATGGCACTGTTGCCGTTGGATTGAGATCCCCTGACTAGTATTTTCAGCTGTTTGATTTATAGCGAACGAAAGATCAATCGCTACAGTACTGAAAAACAGTAGTATGGTATTAATGCTATTTTCAACCTTACTAAATTTTGGTAAAGTTGCAAAAAAAGTGGCTATATTTAATTTGCCGCCAAATTTTGGTAACTATATAAGAAATCCTGTCAAAATTTTGGCAAGTTACCAAAATTTTATGCCAAAATTGCTAAAATTTGGTAAGGTTTTTCTTTTAGCATCAAAGTGAACATACCATAATTTACTGTTTCAAACTATTGTCACAGGAAACAACTACAACATCACTGTTTTTGCACTGTGGCGTTAGACTCATTTTATTGTGTCTCTGGCTTTAACGCCTAAAGTCGGAGGATCTGGATCTGTTGTCGTTGACTATCGTAACCACAACTCAAGCTGACGAAGATAGCCTTAATGGGAAAATGTAATGTACAGACCTAGTAAGCCCCGTTTGGTAGGGCTCCAAACTTTAATTCTCAACTCTAAACTCTGAATCCAATGAGAAAGAAGTGGGCATGAAAATGTTTGGCTAGATTGGTTAGCTCCACGCCACCACGTCCTTTGTTGGCATTTTGTCGAACACTTGGTGTTGTCGCCGGCGCTACTCAGCCTGCGCGTCGCCGCCGCCCGCCCCGTAGCCACCACGTCCTTTGTAGCCACCCGCTCGCCGTCGGTCGCCGGTGTCTACCGAGGAAGATGGAGGAGAGAGAACGTGAGGAGATGGGGTAGGAAGGGATAGTTCAGTGGCATTTTGGTGTAAATATACTAAAAAGTTAAAGGGTAGTCGGTCTTTTAGGGTGGAGTGGAGCTATGGAGCAACAAAAACCCAGCTCCGTCCCTGTAGTACAAATCTGTGGAGCAGCTCTACTAACTTCGCTCAAAAAATGAACAATATATACCGTTTGGCATAACTCTAGCTCTAGGTAAATTGGAATTGGGAGCTGCAGCTATGTCAAACGGGGTCTTGATTCCACATTGATTATGGGTTTACTTATATATATGTAGCTGTGGTCTTTTCATAGGGTTGGGAACTAATCCCGCTAACCGTAAAAAAAAAAGCGATTCATTAGCGCATAATTAATTAAGTATTACTATTTTTTTAAAAAATGGATTAATATGATTTTTTATAACAACTTTAATATAGAAAGTTTTTGCAACAAACACATTATTTAACAATTTGGAAAACGTGCACGCGAAAAAACAGAGTGGGTTGGGAAAGGAGGGGGGAGAACACAGCCGTAGTATTGGCATTATCTGATAGAAATCCGGCCCCTGTACTGTACCCATGAATACGATTACATCTTTGCTCAACAGTCAACATCTTCCTAAACTTGAAACTTAGGGTGTGTTTAGTTTAAAAAAGAAAATTTTTTTGTGTCACATCGGATGTTTGACCGGATGTTAGAAGGAGTTTTCGGACACGAATGAAAAAACTAATTTCTTAACTCGCCTGGAAACCGCGAGACGAATTTATTAAGCCTAATTAGTCCATCATCGGTTCCTCCACGACCTTGGCTAGCGAGCGGTGCCCTCTTCCCAAACTTAGGCCGGTGCGCGCACGACCTTGCCTGAGGTGTGCTTGCTAAGTTGCTATCGCCGCATCGCGCGGTACTTACCCCACAGGTCAGCGCCCTCATCATCACGGCATTACACATCGAGGGGAGTAGCCATCCATCCGGCACTGCACTGCAGCCACTGCCAGTGTTGGGGGAGGAGAAGCCGTGGCTCGAGATCTCTCTCCCAGCGCCGCGCCGGCGCTGGCCGTCGCACGGCTACACGCTGCCCCCTGCCCCCGGTCTCGCGTGGCGCGTGGCGGCGTCCGCTCTCCCCCGCGGGCCGTCCGCCGTCGCACCCGCGCTTCGTCACGCGAAACACAAGGATTCTCCCGTACGCGCGCGGCTCGTCGCCGGTGGAGTCGCGGACGGCAAGAGGCGCGACCCGTTCAGTGCTTCGCGTTTCCATATGCCGGACCGGACCGGCCTGTGGCCCATATCTTAGCCTGGGCTGAAACCGTTGCCGCTGCATTGCGCATTAGCTCCTAGTACGTATTTTCCACTGATTTATTACTACTTCCAATTTTTTAGAGCGTTTCAAGGAATCGTTTCCTAGAGAGCCAGTTAAATGTACGTACGATCCTGGCGTCCAAAAATACAATTTATTTTTTTATCAGGGAATCGATAGATGTCAACGTCGATTCTATCTGTGCAGCATAATAGTACACTTGTGGTTGGGTTGCAGCATGCAGACTAATCATTTTGCTATAGCTCACTCAACGCACTTATATAAATATAAATATACTTGAGTGAAAACTAATAATGTTGGCGATCAGTTAGCATGCACTTGCTGATTATCAACTAATCGTCCAATTCTGAGAGGGCCAAACTGCTGGTTGTTAATGAGGGACAAGCAAACCAGCTGCAACTGAAAACTTCAGCTCATACAAGTTTCAGTAAGAGCCAAAGCCTCCCACAACTACAGTATTAAAAATTGATGCGTATAGTTTCTGTATGACCAAACTGATGATAGCTAGTCATAGGTTCATTGCACATTTCATTGTATTTGCACTCAGGCTATACAAAATTACCCTGTCTGTTGTTGAAAACAAAAACTACATAATATTTGATTGCTCCATGTGTGTTCAAATTACAACAGTGGATATCAACCAAATACATATAATGCAAGTGCTATAATTGTATAAGAAATGCAATTCAGTCATATATATATAGCTGATTTACCAAACTGCAGTAAATTAATTAACAGCCCAGCGAGCTAGATAGAACATCCAACCAACCCACACAACGCAGCACGTCCTGCTGCTGTTCTATGCAAAGACAAGCCCCGTTTTCTTTATACCAACTTGCAACAGTCCCATGAGAAATGATTAGTCCAATGTCAATTAGGGGAATCTCTTCTCAGATCATAGTGTCCTCATGCTTAATGACAACAGCAGCGTTAGTTAACCTGCATGTAGCGCTTCCCTGAGAGGGGAGCCGATAAACTACAATATCATAATGCACTCTGAATTATACGGTAGCGCCCCGGCCGGCCTCGTGCCTAACGGTTCAGAATTAGTTTAACTGATTAATGCTTTGTATTACTGTGCTCTTGAACAACCAGCATATACATGGACGGCGGCTCCAGCACTGAATTCCAGTGACCCTCTGAAACAATATTTTGCCATTTCCCAAAAAGTATGTACTGCATAATACAGTAATTTCAGAGAACCAAAAGAGTATTCATATATGCAGTCAGTTCTGTTACTTCTTATCCATGTGAATCGTGATATCTCATGTGGTTAAGACGATTTAATAAAGTTATAATTAAGTCATGTGGTTTTTAAGCTAGAAGGGAGGGTATGTATCAAGCATCGGCATCAGGCTAAAAAAGGCCAAGCGAATATGCTGCTGCTGCCGGCAAAGACATTTTTGGGGTTCAGAGAAAGGGGATGCAAGAAAAGTAAGAGGGAAAAAAGGGGCAGAATGAGAATGTTCATCCTGTGCGTTTTTTGTTGCTGAAACAAAGTGCACGTCGTCACGCCGAGCAGGCCAGTCCCTTCTTGAGCCCGGAATAAAGCTTAGTGTGTTCCTCTTTTTGATCACCCAAATTCGCCTTTAAATTCAAAGTCTTTTAATTCCTTATCTCTCCCTTGCCGAACAATGCACAGTGATCTCGGAGTACTGAACTACTGATGATCAGATCTAGGCTGGCCCTAACTATTCCCCGGATCGCCAACATGGTCACGTTTTGGAGCATCTCGATCGATCGATCGATCGTTCTCTCTCCCATGCCATTGCCATCCATTCACTCATGCAATGCATCCGTGGCTAGCTTACGCACGCATTAATTCACCACGCACCTGCAGATGGTGAGCTAGCTGCTAGCTGACTGCTGATCTGCCTCGTCCAAGCTGAGATACCACGAGGAGGACGAGGGCATACGTTCTCGCAATAACCTATATATATATATATTAGGTGAGAGATAAATCAATGAATGATCATACATTGATTAGTCTCTGGTAAAGAAACAAATAATAATAGTCTGTGTTGCTCCATCTTTCTCTGCTCGATGCTATAGAAAAAAAAGAATTATTTGATTAATTAATTACAAAATAAATATTTGATTAATTAAGGCGACGTCAATGAGAGGGTCGTATGATTAGCAGCACGCCGTAGGGAAGACTTGAGAAAAATAGTACTAACGAAAACCGGGGAGGTGGTGTGGTGTGAGGGGTTTCGCATCGGCGCATGTGACGCGTCGCCGGCCGTGTCTCGTGCCTGCCGATCCATCGATCCATCCATGGGAGCTAGCGATCGATCCGCTGCCCGAAGCTGGCCTGGCCGGCACGGCGGTTGAATCTGCCCCGCTCTCGATTATTGCGTTTGAGGGTGTGGGTGATGCATCGTGCTCGGCAGGCAGGCTGCAGCATCCTCCTGCATTGGTGGAATTCGATGTGTGTGTGAATGGATGTACCTGTTGAAGTGTAGGCGTATGCATGCATGCATGCATGCACCAGCAATTCTTCAGAGTTTGCATGTATTCGTGCTACATATGCATGGGAGGTATATACCTGCAGGCTGCAGGCTGTATTTTAAGTGTTCCAATGAGCAGAGATTTCCAAACAAGTGTGAACAGTTGTGATTGGTTTGTTATTACATCTTCCCCTTGTTCACATTGGTGCACCGACGACGACTGTTCTCTGAACATGGTC